TTTATTTAATATTAAAGAATTTACGAATAATTGAAATTTCGTAATATTGAATATTGTAAAGAAATGAATTTGAAAATTGTCAAAGAACTTTTTCGGAAATTATTAAAAATAATCGATATAAAGAAGAATGTTAGATAAAAAAATTTTTAAAAATAATAATTGAATTGATAATGATTTTAATTATTATAAATTATTTTTATTAATAATTATTATTACCTAATTATTATGAAACATGAAGAAATGGATGAGTTCGAGTCGAATACTCGGAGTTATCGATTTCTTCATGTTTTATAGTTATGAAAAATTGAATTTCTAGTTTTAAGTAAAATATTCTCTTATTTGATTCGGCCTGATTTTATTTTTGTCAGCAGTTGGTCCGTAAATGGTCCGTAATTTTTAATTTTTGGTCCGTAAAGTCCGTATTTTTAAATACTTTCACTGCTTCGAGCCCTGATTAAACTCTAAATTTGAATTAGAAAAAATGTTTATTAATTTGAATTAATTAATTTGTTAATTAATTTGATTTTTTCCTTTCACAGTTTTTGCAATTTTTTATAGGGCTTCTAACATTAGGGGAGACCGGGGCTAAACCGGACAAGTCAAATATTTCCGAAACAAGGTACTGAGTTTAGTAGAAAAAAAGTTTAATGGAAAAAGTTAAGAAGAAAAAATATATTGCAGGTTAATTATTAGATGACGATGTGGGGCTGAATCGGACATCGTGATAAAAAAACAACCAAATCTTTGAATTCTTTAATTTATTTTATATTATATTCTTTGCATAGAACCACTTTATAAATAAATAAATAAAGAATTTATTTTAAAACTCGAATTCGCAAGCGAGTTGCTACAAACAGACAAGTCTGAAAACAGTAATTCATTTTATATTATATTAATTACCGATTTTACATTTTATATTATATTATTTGTATAGAACTATCTACAAATAAATAAATGAAGAATTGATTTGACTTTTCTACAAAAAAAACGAAAATTTGTGTCTCATTCTTTAATTAATTAGCCGTGTCCGATTTAGCCCCATGGGGTGTCCGGTTTAGCCCCACCAATTTTCGGATTTTCGTTTTTGAGGTAGTCACCTTTGAAGCAATATATCTCCAAAGCTACTGTAGTTTTTTAAAATCGAACAAGTGCGATTTGTAGGTGAAGGTATAAGCTTCAAAACGGTATATTACTCTTTAGCAAAAAATATTTTTTTGGATGAGTTTTCTGGTCAAAGACCAAATCCGTCCGGTTTAGCCCCGGTCTCCCCTAAAATAAACAATTAGCAAAAGAAAAAATTGTCATTAAGTAAACGTAGGTAACTTCAGTTTCATAAAATGTTATTAACATGTTAAAAATACTCGATTAATTGTAAAAAATGCTGAACAAAACTAAATTTTTAAATTCCTAGAATTTTTCTCTATATTTTTTCGTATGTATGTAAGAATTTTTCTCCATTGCACATAAACAAAAAGAAGTAGAGAAAGAATTTGTTTTCCTTTCATTCATAGAAGTAAAATCGTTTTCTTCGAGTGTTTTGTATATAACTAGACGTTTTACTAAAAACTTGAAAGCGAGTAAGACCCGTATGCACGAGATATTTTTTAGACGGAACGTTGAGGATCAACTCGAGAGAGATGGTAGGAATAGATAAATTTACCTGATTTGCATAAGGAAAGCTTTAAAGCTCCATTGCCGAGGCTATGGATTAGTTGAAGATAGATTTTTTTTTACTATTCTTATTGTTCTTATAGAAGAAAAGAGAAGAAAAAGTAAGATAGAAGGGAAGAAAGAAAGAAAAAATGAAAGACGTGCTCAATTTATTCGAGATTTTCCTTAAATCTCCATCATAAAGAAATTCTACGAATCCGCAAAAAAGTACAGATTTCTAAATGAGGAAAAATTTTTCACATTTTTTTGAACGCGTATTATACAAGAGAAGTAATAAATAATACTTGTCAAAATGCTGAAACAAATTTTAAACGTTCTTTCAGATATTAATAATATTATTTTATTTCTACTATTTTTATTATCATTTTTATTCTTTTCCTTATTTAGATTTTTATTATTATTCTTGTTTTATTTATATTTTTATTATCATAATATTATTCCTATAATTATTATTTATGGAATTAATTATTTTAATTATTATTTAATTTAATTGGACTATTATTATTTATTTATTTATTTACAATATTATAACATTAAAACTAATTAGTTATTTATTCAAGTTATTATTATTATTATTCTTATTATTGTTATTTATGCAATAAAATAATCTGTGTACTTTGATAATTGATAAATTAATCATAAAATCTAAAATTAGTATGATTTGAGAATGGCGAGAAAATTCGAACTAAATGTAATGAAGGAAAAAATTAATAGTAACGAAGTCAGAGGATTTTTTAATTACAACCATTCACTCTTTATGTATACCATTATTTTCTCTCTTCTATTCTCTTTAAATTTTAATTAGTATATTTTCACCGGGAATATATCAGTGCGAAGTAACTTCAATTGTTAATTCTTTTTATTGATTTTCTGTCAAGTTTATTACTTAATTTTTCATTATGAAATTAGCAAAACAGTCATTTTTACATTAAAAATTCCGAGTATTTTATTTTGTTTTCTATTTGACATAAATCAATGATTTTTTTATGGTGTCAAAAAGTGACGTTTGTGACTCTATTTCAATAAATAATAATCCGATAATTCAATAATTTGATAAGAATAAAAATAATAATAAATAACGTACTCTAAAAGAATTATTTGAGACAAATTATTTTTCTTTATTCTTTCTCAATTCTCAAACAAAATTTAAAAAGCTTCTCATTTCTGTAAATAAAATTTAAATGACTTAAATTGTAGAATAACTTTCTTAAAAGTTTAAAGATAATCGAATTTTTATAAATTGGTATTTAAAATTTTTTGAAATAATTAAAATTTCCTAAAATTTTATTAAAAATAATTGAATTTTATGAGTGGTGTTTACAATTTTTATTAATAATTTAATTTCAAAACGTTTCATTTAGAAATTTTAAAAAATTTGAATTTTGAATAATTTTAATTAAAAATTCTAAAAAGATTAGTTTTTTGAAAAAATTTTCTTGAAATTTTTTTGAAATTAATTGAATTTTTCAATATGTTTAAGGGGAAAAATTTTCGAATTATCGAAATTTTGTAATTTTTAATTGTAAACAAGTGAATTTGAGAAATATTTTAAGTTAACTTCCTTTGATTCTTTAATCAATTGAATTTTGAAAGAACTTTCTGAAAAAAATCAATATATTCCAATTTTTAATTTTATTTTTGGAACAGGATTTTTCACAGAAATTATGACATTTTAAAATTTTAAATTCAAACCTCTTTTAAATTAAACAACTTATAAAAGTATTATTTTCATCATTTTAATTCAATTATTATTTTCTAGAATTTTAGATTATTTTTTATGAAAATAATAACTGAATTCATTAAAAAATATTTATTATTTTGAAAATAATTGAATTCTTGTGAAATTTTTATTATTTGCATACAATTTTATTAAAATTTTTTTTTAAATAATTGAATTCTTTCTGGGAAATTTTATTAAAATAGTAGATATTGAAAACCATGGAAATTAGAAATTTCTTTGAAAATAATTGCAATTAGGACAAGAATTTTTTTGACATTTGTGAAAATATTATTGAACTTTGGAGAAGAATTTTGTTATTTATAAAGATAATTGTGATTTTTGCGAGAATTTTTTTTCAAATTTTGAAAATAATAATTGAATTTTATAAGAATTTTAATTATTTTCAAAATAATTGAATTCTTGTAAAATTTTTATTATTTATGAAAATACTAAAATGTTTGCATACAATTTTATTAAAAAATCTTAATAATAATTGAATTCTTTTTGGGAAATTTTATTAAAACAGTAGATATTGAAAATCACTGAAAATAGAAAATTTTTTGAAAATCATTGAAATTAGGACAAGAATTTTTTTGACATTTATGAAAATATAATTATACTTTGATGAAGAATTTTGTTATTTATAAAGATAATTGAGATTTTTACAAGAATTTTTTTTCAAATTTTAAACATAAGTAGTTGAATTTTATTTTTTTTTAAATAATTGAATTTCTGTAATTCTTTGTAATTTCTCCAAAATTAAATTTTTTTAGTATTTTAAAGGAAAATTTAAATTAGAAAATTTTTAAATTCTATTATTTTCAAAATGGCTAATTTTATGTAAAAAAAGGTAGGAAGAAGTTAGCCGCGCGCTAGCTATTAAATATTTATCTAAAAAACTATTGATGTTTACAATTAATTTAACAATTAAAGAGATTCAAAAATAAATGTATTAAATAATTATAATATTCACTGAAAAAAACATTTATTTGGTTCCAAAGAACGATTACTCAACTATTATCAATTAAATACTTGAATCAAATATTTTTTATTTTAGTCAATTAAATGGTTGATCAATTGATATTTGCTTTAAATATAGAAATTATTGGTTCGAATACAATTTAAATGATTTAAATAAAAATTAGTTGATTCAAGTAAATATTTACTTGATAATAGACAAGTAATCGGTTATTATAGAATCAAATAAATTCTTGTTTTCAGTGTAATAAATAATTACATTATTTTTTGTGTAGATATTTCATAATTTTTAGGGTGAATTAGAATACTTTTTAGGGTCAGGGAAATAATGCCAAAATTCTGTCTGGAAATCAAGGAAAAATAAAATTAAATTTTTGTTGCAACCTTGAGAGTATAGGCTATTTAGTACAATTGGAATTAATCAGAGTTTTTCTTTTTACCTAAAAAAAAATTGTTTTTTACATTAAAATAAATAAAATCACTTACAATAATTTGAACGGTTGCATTTTAACTCGCGCGAGACAATTATTATACATGAATGTTATAGAAAAACGAGAAATGATGAAGGAACAAAAAAACAGAAAGTAGAAATATAATGATAAGGCGATATGTGACAATGCATAATATTTACCCAGTGTGCGCTGAAGTAGACACCCTTGAAGTAGTGTCGAAGCTCCTCGTAGAGCATGGGTTCGTTGCTGTCGCGAGCGCCACAGGGTAAAAGAGGGCCGTCCACGAGGGTAGCTTTTGGATGAGGTGGTTTCCAAGGGAAGTTCGCTCCAGTAAGGTCTGCAAGGGTTCGTTCGACACCCCCTCTGGTCACGACGGAGCCGTTACCACCCTCGAGCAATATCAGAGTTGGCACTCCCGCTTTTATTCGGTACCTCCTCGTCAGTCGTGTCTAGAAAAGTTCAAGAAAATCTCTCTTTAAAACAACTTTCAAGTTAAACGCCTTTCTTAATTGGCCGCACCTTCTCTATACTCTCTATATACTGTTTCTTCTTCTATTCATATTTTCTTTCATGTTTATTTCATTTTTTATAATTATTTATTATCATAATTATATATTAAATAATTCCTCCCCCCCCCCACACTCCTAAAGTGCGAACCAAATTTATTACAGGGTTGCCACGTAACCTGGAAATCTGGAAAACCTGGAAATGTCAGGGAATTTTTATAAACCTTGAAAAAACCTGGAAAAGTCGGGGAATTTTGATTGGAATCCTGGAAAATTATTCTTTTCTAAAGTTATTGTGCTTATTCTTGAAATCTAATTTTTCTTTAATTCAATTTTCTTAATTCAAATTTCTTAATTCAATTTTAAAAGAGTTGCTTTTATAATTTTTCTTCGCAATAATTCAATTATTTTCATAAATAATAAAAAAAATTATAGATTTACAATTATTTTCATAAATAATCAAACTCATCGCAAAATTTCAATTATTTTTAATACAATTTTAATGGAATTTCTCGAAAAATGTATAATTATTCTTAAAAATTTTATTCATATTCATCAAAGAAATTCAATTATTTTCAAAAGTAATTAAATTCTTCGCAGAAATTCAATTATGGTCAAAAGTTTAAAAAATTTATCGTCAAAATTTCAATTATCTTTATAAATATATTAAAATTTTTCTCCAAAATTCAATTATTTTCAAAAATTTTAATGAAATTCTTTTTAACAAATTCAATTTTTTCTCAAAAATTCTCCTCCAGTCAATGATTTTCAATATCTACTATTTTAATAAAATTTTCCAAAAGAAATGAATTATTTTAAACATATAAATAATTCTATTATTTTAAAAAATATTCAATTTATGTTTACAGAGATTCAATTATTTTTATAAATATGTAATACAATTTTTTACAGGGATTCAATTATTATTTTCATAGATAATAAAACTCATTGCAGAATTTCAATTATTTTTGATACAATTTTAATCGAATTCCTCGAAACATGTAATTATTCTTAAAATTTTATTAAAATTCGTCAGAAGAATTCGATTATTTAAAAATTTGTTAATAAAATTCTTTATGAGAATTCAATTTTGAGAAACATTCAATTATTCAATAAATTATTTATTTTTGTATTAAAAATAATTAGGTATTTAAAAAGAAATATTATTAAAAAATTCGTCTCAAGAATTCAATTATTTTCAAAAGTAATAAAATTCTTATCAGAAATTCAATTATGGTCAAGAGTTTAAAAAAAGTTATAGTCAAAATTTCAATTATTTTTATAAATATTAAAATTTTTTTCTAGAATTAAATTATTTTCAAAAATTTTAATAAAATTCTTGGCAATATTTCAATTATTTAAAAAAATTTTAATAAAATTCTTGACAAAATTTCAATTATTTTTAAAAACTTTTCTCAATTCAATCAAATTTTTCACAGAGATTCAATTATTTTTAATACATTTTTAATCTAATTTCTCGAAAAAAGAAATTATTCTTAAAAATTTGATTGAAATTCGTCAAAAGAATTTTAATTACCTATTTAAAAATTTGTTGATAAAATTCTTTAAATGAGAGTTGAATTTTAAAAAATATTCAATTCTTCAATAAATTATTTTTTTTGTATTCAAATAATTGAATTGTCGTAGAATTTTCTAATAATAATTGATTAAAATATGAATTTCAGTTAAAACTTTAGATAATAATTGAGTTTTGAAAAGGTTTCAAATCATAATCTTTGAATGTTTGAATTTTTCATAGTTTTAACTTAAAATTGTGTAGATTTAATTTTTTTGTAAAAGTTGAATTGAATTTTTTCGAAGTTATTGCAAGTTTTTATTTTCTAATATATATTTGATTGAAGAATTTCCGAATACCTGAATAATCGATGAAATTTCGTAAAATTGAATTTTAAACAAAAGGATTTGAAAATGTTGAAAGAAATTTTTCAGAAATTATTAATAATAATTAATTTACACTTTATAAAGAAGAATTATAAAACAATTATTATAATTATTATTATTATTATTATTATTATTATTATTATTATTATTATTATTATTATTATTATTATTATTATTATTATTATTATTATTATTATTATTATTATTATTTATTATTATAATTATAAAACAATAATTGAATTAAAGTAATGAAAGTAATTTTGTATAAGTTACAGTAACAATATTCTTATAATAGGTATAAAATGATGATTTTGTCAGTCCAACATTTTTAATTATTATAAAAAATGAAGATATCGATTGCTCTGCGTCTAAGACTCGGAGTGATCGATATTTTCATGTTTTATAACAATTTTTTATAAGGTATTTAATTTCAAAAAGGTTTGAATTAAAAATTTTGTAAAATATAAATGTATTCCGTTTTTTAACTTGGAAAACCTGGAAAAGTCAGGGAATTTGAAATGAGCAAAAGCATGGCAACCCTGTTATTTATTTCACACTGCTTCGAACTGTAGTTAAATATAATTATTATTCAGGGAAAAGTAAGAGATTTTTATTAAAAGTATTGAAAAAAAAATTAAATTTTTAGAATTCAGAAGAAAATTCTGAATTTTGGTGACTTTTGTTTTCCTCATAAACTATGAATTTTTGATAAAAATACTTTATTTATGTTTATTCTATCTAGTCAAGAAGAAATAATATTTGTTTTTTAAATTTATACATTTGTTCGACCTGTAGTTTTTCTATTGGTTAACAGAACATCTATTCACTGATAAATAATATTTTTTTTCTCCCATTCTGAATTATTGCAACTGTACAAATTCTATTGGATAAGTACATAAGATTTGGAGATATTTTAAATAATATTTACCATGAGCAGTATATAAGTTGGAGAATCACGTATAATTTTTAAAGTTTTCTGTTACGTGCCATTAAGTTTGAAACAAAAAAGAAATAGTAAACTTCGTCTGATTATTCCTGTGTATTAAATATACGAATAAGTTTGACATCAAGGCGGTAAGAATTTACAATTTTAAAGATCAAATTAATATTTTTTCGAAATACTTTATTAGTAATATTTACAGATTTTAAATTAGTATTTTCTTGATTATCCTTTCTGTGTCAAATTTTCATGTTCAATTAATTTTTATTTTCACTTCAAAAAAAAAAAAAAATTGAAATTCAATAATATTTTTGAAATGAAAGTTAAAATATAAATGAAAATCTGTCACAAGAATTAAAAATAAAAAAGTAAAAGTTAAAATCTGTAAAAGTACAAATAAAAATGAAAGTGAGGGTAGAAATGAAATGAAATAATCGTTCCCTCTGGATAGCATAACGAGAACAACTCTTCTCTTTTTTTGTATCTATTTCGCATAATTTTTCGTTTAATTTTAATTAATTTAACTATAGGTATTAAACTAGCGATAACTCGCGAAAATTGTTGTATTAATTTATATTTATAATTAATTTGTTATCACCAAAAATAAATCCTTTATTGTGACCAGTTATTGTTTCTCAATCAGAAATATTTTTTCTAAAAGATAAAATTTATTAAAATTTCCTCAAGAAATGTTACATATAAAAAATTATGTATATGTTTCACTAGGAGACAAATAAATACAAAAGATTAGAATAATAATATTTTTAATATTCTTATGCGATTTCACTAAAAAAAAAACATATGATTGAAGCAATCGTAAATTTTTCAAAATAATTTCCCTATGCTCTGAAAGTTCAAATGGACAAAATCTTTTCCTATTTAAATATTTTTAAAATCCTTATTAATAAAATCAGATGTCTGTCTGTTCATTGCTTGAAACTTCAAAATGTTAACATGATTAGTTATTATGGACATCATAGATTCCAAAAATATTCTTAAAAAATTTAATGTATGTACGTATGTCTGTCACAAAAACTTTGTACCCCAATCACACAAAAACATGTGAATCGATTTAAGTTCAACTTGGTAGGTTATTAGGTATTGACCCAAGGAAGGTTTATAAATTTACAGATTTAAAGAATATTAATTAAAATGGGAGATATTCAATTTTTTCAAAAAAATCGAAAATTTCAAATTTTTTTATTTTTTTATGGATTGTTTTTAAAGTTTCTATACTTGGGTATTACATGTTATTTAGTCACATTTTAGCATAATTTTGCAAAAAAATAAAGTTCTATAACTAATATGTAAGTATAAACATGTTTTCAAAAAATCGAAAATTTCAAAATTTTACATTTTTTTATGGATTGCTTTTGAACTTTCTATATTTGAGTCGAAGACGGGTACGACAGCTAGTTACTATATAAAAAGATAATTATAATAATTAAACTTTTACTCAGTTAAAAATTAATTCTTCGAAGGTACAAAAATTTTGTTTTGTAAAAAAAATATAAATTTAAAACAGTAAATGAATATTATCGTTTATTTTATCGCTTAAAACTTCTGGAACATTAAAAAAAACTACTTTTATATTCTATATTATGTCCTTTACTGACAAGTTTCATTGCTATCAGTTTATAGTTAATAATATACATATTATTTCCAGACATTTAAATATCAATTGGAAAAAGTTACAAGACATTGTTTATCAATCATGATAAGACTGGCAATAATCTGCTTTCTAATTTCCATGATCGAAAGCAAAGATTTTAACTTTGGTATTGATCAGTTAAATAAATTAGCACTAGATTTCGAGGATTCGAAATTTCGAATGGATGAAGCAACTCGAGGTCAAAGTGGAAATGCGGCAATTGTCATAGGCAATGGAAGAGGGGGCAAAAGTACACTAATTAATTACTTAATGGGAAATGAATTGGTAGCTTACAGGCTTCATAATTATGATAGCATTAAAATAAAAAAAGCTAACGAAAGTATCCAAGGACCAGAAATTGGTGCTGGACCACTGTCAACGACTACAATTCCCTTAAAATGGAAGTCAACAAGGCCAGAATTACAGAATTTGGACTTATGGGATGCTGCTGGATTTTCGGATAATAGAGGTGTAGAGCAAGATTTAAACAATTCCTTTAATCTGTATCATTTGACAAAAAAATTAGATTCTCTGAAATTTATTTTAATTATCGGCTTTGACGACATTCATAATACAAATATTCAACATATTTTGAAACTTTTAAGAACCTTAGAAAAATATTTTTATTACAATTTTGAAGATATGTTTCAAAGTATATCAGTAATTATCTCAATAGCACCTCATCAGAGTGATAATGGATTTCCAGTCAATTATGATTATCTAAATTATAAATTAAATAGCAGTTTATTATCAAGTCCAGAATTGGATATATCCGAAGTTTCAAAAGACTTTGTACGGTATATAATAAATAATAGACAACAAGTAGCATTCTTCAGGAAAGCGGAGAAATTAGGGAAAGTTCATTCTGACATCGATGACAATATTATTCCAGCTATTAATAATAGCAAGAGCATAAGCTACTCATTTCACCAGAATGTAGGTTTTCCAATTTCAGAGTACTCTAAAAATTGCCTACTACACGCCATTGATGACATGCTGATCCTAAGTGAATTTGACACATTACAGAAACAATTTGAAAACTTGTTCATTGAACAGTTTGATGCTTTGAATAAATTGGAAGATACAAATACATTAAGAGCAAATAAAGACAATTTAGAAAAAATCTACAATCGTATTGATATTTTGGCATGGGATAATTTGGATGCAAAGGTTAAAATGCAAATTCTGAGTGTTAATTTTGATACTGCTATAAACTTCACTGAGGATGAATTACTTAAGAAAATTAACATAGCTGAATTTATTGATAGTTTACTTACGACTGACAATATGGAAAGAATTCATATTGCATTAGATGCAATTATTAATTCAGTATATTACAGAATAGCACAACTGATTTCATTATGTGAACTGAAGGTTAACCAAATATCATTAACAGACTATAAAGAAAAAATGAGCAAAGATAATGCGATGCTTGCCAAGGAAAAAAAAGATTTGCAGGATAGAATACAAAAGCTGCAGAAAGAACCAAATCAAGAATGCTTATTGGACAAATTTGTACGGAATGTTAAAGAAACTTATACGGTCATAGTTGATGAAATTGGGTAATTGTAATTTAAAAAAGATGGTGTCGTCTACTGTATCTAAACAAACAAGTATTTAAAAAAACAATCATTATATATTATTACAATACCCAATTTCCATAATATCTTCTCTTGAAAATTTTCAGTAAAATTTTAAAGAATAATAGCTTTTTTCGACAAATTCATTATCATAATTTCAGTGATTGAAGCAAATATAATTTAATTGACTAAAAGATTATTTGATATAAATATTTATTTGATAATACACAAGTAATCGGATATTTGAATGAAATATATTTTTTTCAGTGTAGTATAACACAATAAATATATGCAATAAAAAGAAAGTCTAATTTTTTTATACATTCTGTTTTACAACAGAAAATAATAATTAATAATAATTAATAGTAATAATGATTACAGTAATGCTAATAATTTTTGTAATTATAAATAATTATCGCGCTGTATTTTAATTAGAAAGGTAAATGATTGAATTATGGAAAAGGAAAATATTGTTGTAAATTTTGTTAAACAGACAATAGACTTAAATTACGAGTGTGTATATATATATATATTTATTTGCTCAAAAAAGGGTTGATATAATTGATTTTAAAGTACAAAACGTTGAAACGAAAATGCTGAATGCAGTTTCATGTCTAATTTGAAATTGTTTAAATTCAAAGGTAAAGTTTACTCTGGAAACTTGAAGTTTCGGAATCAATGTTCCGAACTCGTAGGTAAACTTTTCAGACAAACTTCAGAGTGTCGGTGTGGAAGTATTTCTCTCCTTCTCTATCTCTCCTTCTTCTTCTTTTTTTCTCTCCACTTGAATCCCAAGGGACAGTAAAAGCTCTTTCAAACCGAAAAGTAAAGCGAGTTACCGCAAAGTCCACTGCTGTTGAGGGCATCTTTTAAAAAGTTTATAATAATCTTAAAAACTTTTGTCAGTATCCACTTTTATAATGCGATGTTAAATATAGATTTCTTTCTATATTTTTTTATTTATATTTATTTTTATTTATTGTGTATGTTATTGTTTTTTATATTTTTTGTTTAAATTTTTTGTTTTTTAATTATTTAGTTTTTAATTTATATTTTCATTTACTCTTTAAATTTCAGTTGGCAGAAATGTTAACTAATTTCAATTAGTGACTGCCTTTTTGCTTTTTAATTACTAAATTTGACTAATAAATAGTAATTTCTACTAAGTTTATTAGTAAAATTTACTAATTCAAAAGCAAAAAGTCACTAATTGAAATTAGTAAACATTTTTACTTATTTAAATTTAGAAAGTAGATTTTTAATTTTAATATTAAATTTAATTAGTTTAAATTAAAATTGAAAATAAAATTATCTTTACTATTAAATATTTATTTACCTTGAATATAAATTTATTGCATTATATATTTATTAATTGTAATTTACTACTTTTTTTACGATTTGCTACTATTTGGATACTTCTTTTTCGATTTGTGACACTAAAAGCTACTTTTTTTCTTTTTTTTTTAGAATTTACACTGCTTTAAATCAGCTAATAATTGAAATAAAAAATTATTATCAAAAATTTTTTTAATTTCTTTGAAATGATTCAATTATTTTGAAAAATTTTTCGTAAGAATACAATTATTTTTTCAAATAATAAAAATCTTCGCAGAAATGTAATTATTTTCAATATATCTACTATTATTTAATAAAATTTCCCAAAAGAATTCAATTATTTAAAAGAATGTTAATAAAATTCTTTGTAAACATTCAATTATTTTCATAAAAAATAAAATTTTTACATGAATTCAATTATTTAAAATAAAGTTTCATTGAATTTTTTCGAAAAAATCAATTATTTAAAAGAATTTTTATAAAATTTTTCTCGGGAATTCAATTATTATTTAAAACTTTTAATTCTATATATAAGAATTGAATTATTTTCAATAAAATTTTAATTAAATTCGTCGAAAAAAATTTGTTAGACTTCAATTATTCAAGTAAACCATAAAATTTTTCGCTGGAGTTCAATTATTTTTAAAAATAATTAAATACTTTAGATAAATTCAATTATTTTGAATATAATTTTTTAAAAAATTTTCCTAAAAATTCAATGATTTTCCCAAATAATGAAAATCTTCACAGAAATTAAATTATTTTCATTATCTAACTATTATTTAATAAAATTTCCCAAAAGAATTCAATTATTTAAAAGAATTTTTATAAAATTCTTCTCGGGAATTCAATTATTATTTAAAAATTTTAATGTAACTCTTCACAGAAATTCAATTATTTTTAAAAATTTTATTAAAATTCTGTATAATATAAGAATTGAATTATTTTTAATAAAATTTTAATTAAATTCGTCGAAAAAAATTTGTAAGAATGCAATTATTCAAGTAAATAATAAAATTCTTCGCGCGAATTCAATTATTTTCATAAATAATAAAATACTTTAGATAAATTCAATTATTTTGAATATTTCATTATTTTTATAGATAATAACATTTTTAGAGGAATTCAATGACTTAAAGTTAAAATACAATTTTCATAAAATTTTTGAACAAAATCAACTATTTAAAATATTTTATTCTTTGCAAGACTTAAATTATTTTTATAAATAACGTTTCACAGAATTTAAATTATTTTTTATACAGTTTTAAATAAATTCCTCGAAAAATGCAATTATTTTTAAAAATGTTATTAAAATTCTTCGAAAGAATTCAATTATTTTAATAAATTTTGATAAAATTCTTCATAAGAATTGAATTTTAAGAAATATTCAATTTTATTCAATAAATTATTTATTTTTATATTTAAATAATTGAATTTTCGTAGAATTTTCTAATAAAAATTGATTTAAAAATGAATTTTAGTTAAAATGTTAGATAATAATTGAATATTAAAAGCATTGTAATATAATTTTTAGAAATAATTGAATTTTGAAAAAATTTCAAATTAAAATCTTTGAAAATTTTAATTATTGTAAAACTGTAACAATATTTAATTTAAAATTTTTTTTTAAATATACATTTAAAAATTATTTTTAAATATAATTGTATTTTTGTAGAATTTAAAATTAAAATTTAGAAAATTATTGAATTTTGTAAAAATTTAGAATTCAAGTTATTAGCAGTATGAGAAAAAATGTAAATTTTCTATGATGGGTTTTTAACCCGTATACTATTGAAAAATAAATAAATGATGAAAATTAGAAAAAAATACAGAATTAAATTTTTTGATTTTTCTGAATCATCTAAAACGAGTTGTTTTTAGTGGTCAAATTTAATTTTCCAATAGCTACTTTCTTTTACTACTTTTTTCGGTCTTAAAGCTACTTTTTACTAATTTTTTAAAATTAATTATTGAGTACGAGGCCTGATATTTTGATAGATAATATTATATTTTTATTTTTTCATTAATTCAAGAAAAAATGTTCATTAATCCAAAAAATGTTCAACAATATTTCCCAATTGGAATAATTTTCACGTTAATTTCAAGTATTTTTTCTCTCTTTTTTTCATTACACAGATTTTTTTATCAAGTACGTAATTTTTATTTTCATCCGCAATGTCTCTGCGTTAATGAATTGGTAATGAAAATTCTGATGAGACTAATAAATATCATCAGTTGCAAAAAAAAAAGAAAAAAAAAGTGGACAAAGTATATATGAGCATCACATGACATCGATTTAAAAAAGAGAAAAAAAAGGAGGAAAAAAAAACTTCTTTATTGTGTATGAAAAGGGGCGTTGCATCAGATCACATTTCGAGGGTCTTTCTCGAGTACTCTCCCCCCATTTGCTTGTTTTTATGGCACCCATGAGTGCGATTACGCAGGTTTATATACCTCATTGATGTGTACGTGTAATAAAGCGCATAAATGAGTGTGTGCGAGTTTCTGACTTTCTTCCGGGCTTTGCCAATTCAGATTTCAAAAGTGACAGGAGAAATGCTTACATTTCTAAAGATTATTCTACGCGAAAAATAAAATGAAAATGTCCCTCCTACCCTCTTGTTGATATATATATGTGCATTCATGATGTTTGTGAAAAAAAATACTTTCAATCATGATTTTTGTCTCCTTCATTTTATGTGAAATGTCATTTTATATTTTTTATACATTTGAAACCGTTTTTTTTTTGCATTCATTTCTTTTATCTCGACATTCGTGTATATAAATCGTCGTTTATAGCGAGTAAATATTGCAAAATTCGATAAATATATATTTTGACGTCGCGAAAAGTTTGCAGCTTTTTGAAAAAACAATATTATTGGCGTGCATAACAAAATTTTATCTTTTCTTTTTGGCCAATTGTTTTTTTTTCTAATTATTAAAAATCATGGATTAATAGAATTTTAATTAAAAACATTTTTAAAAAAATTAAATTTTGGAGAAGTTTAAAAATGATTGCAGAAATTCAATTATTTTCAAAAGTAATAAAATTCTTTGCAGAAATTCAATTATGTTCAATTTTTTTTTTAAATTCTCGTCAAAATTTCAATTAATAGAATTTTTCTTCAAAATTCAATTATTTTTAAAAACTTTAATAAAATTCATGACAGAATTTCAATTATTTTCAAAATTTTTTTTCCAATTCAATGATTTTCAACATCTTTTAATAAAATTTTCCAAAAGAATTTAATTATTTAAAAAAATTTTAATAAAATTCTACTCGAAAATTTAATTATTTTCATAAAAGAATTCAGTTAGTTTTAGAAACTTCTATAAAATTCTTCTGCACAATTGAATTATTTCCATAAATAACATAATTCTTCAGATTTATTAATTAGTTTGTATATTATTTAAAAAAAAATTTCCCACGAATCCAATTATTTTCATTTTACATAAAATTTTTCAAAGCAATTTAATTATTTTAAAAAGTAATCAAATTCTTCGCAAAAATTCAATTATGTTGAAAATTTTTTTAAAAATTCTCAGAATTTCAATTATTTTTATAAATAATAAAATTTTTCTCTAAAATTCAATTATTTTCACAAATTTTAATAAAATTCTACGCAAACATTCAATTATTTTTATAAAAAAATAAAAATTTCACGGGACTTAAATTATTTATAAATTTTTCAATAATTTTTTCGCACTATAATTCAATTATATTTATAAGTACTGAAACTCATCGCAGAATTTCAATTACTTTTAATATAATTTTAGTTGAATTCCTTGAAAAATTTAATTATTCTTAAAAATTGTTATTAAAATTCGTCAGAAGAATTTGATCCATTTAAAATAATTGTTAATAAAATTCTTTATGAGAATTCAATTTTAAGAAACACTCAATTATTCAATAAATTATTGTTTTTTACAACTTAAAT